TCTCAGGCATTTCCAAAGCCTGCCCATCTTCCAGTATAGAGTGTAGGTCTACTTCCAGCTTATTTGCCTCAGTCACTTTATCTTGTTTCTGGACATGTGCAGGTATGGTCATCTGCTTCTGTTTTTTGGGCATCTTCAGAGGTTATCTGTGGCCTTAATACTCAGCTGGGTATGTATTTTGGTATTTTTTTATGCTTTCTGATTGCCTCCAGGTAGATATGATCAGGAAATGGGCTTCCCTTTTCACTCTTCTTTTTGAGAAATTCCAAGATGCCACTGTTGGTTATTTTGATGTAACTTAGGATTTAATTTTTGGTCTATTTCCTTTTTTGTGTGCTTGTCCCACTCCACAATCCCCGTTCAGGCCTTTTTTCTAGGGGGAAACAGTTCAGGGTTGGCTGTGGCCATTTGGCTTTAATTGGAAACTGTCTCTTTAAATTTCAAGGAGCTCTGTGTGTTTGCATAGTAGAGCCCTCAGAGGGTGGGGCTGGGGTGCCCACTAGCTCCGGCACCCCTACAGTCACCCAAATGGAGGTGCACAGACAAGGGACCAATGAACAGCTACCAAAAGAGAAGAATGTCCACACCTTTATCTCTGAGGTTCTGCCAGGCATCTGTGGCCATTCAGATCCTCCCTCCACACCCCCTCTTGGTCTCACCCAAGATGATGGCTCCCGGAGCAGCTAAGTGTCTCGAATTAGAAAGCAATGGATTTCTTGCTTTTGCCACAAATTCCCCCAGCCATAAGCCTTCCAACCTTCTAAATATTCCTTTATATGTGGTTCATAGTTCTGGGACCATCCCCTGAGCCTGCTTGGTCGGGTATTCTGTGTTGTTGCTGGCGGAGCTCCTTTACTGCACGTCTACCTGATCCGTCATCTTGTTTGTTCTCTGCTAATTTATTTTTGAACCTTCCAATATACTCAGTCAAAACCGTTATTATCCAATTACAATGACCCTTCTTCAAATCATGTGGTTTCACCTGAACATGCTACAACCATGCATTGTTGATACCTTGCTGCCAGTGTTTTTATAATCTCTTATTTTACCATACCTGCTGGACTTTTAGCTACAATGTTGTAATGGTTAGGGTTTTGTGTTAACTGGACTAGGCCAGGATTTCCAGAGGTTTGGCAGTTGGGAAGTGCTTGTTGTTAAGTACCATCAAGTTGGTTCTGACTCATAGTGACCCTGTACAGGGTTTCCGAGGTTGTAAATCTTTACGGGAGCAGAAAGCATCATCTTTCTCCTGTGGAACAGCTGGTAGTTTTGAACTGCCAACCTTGAGGTTAGCAACCCGATTCGTAGCCACTATGCTACCAGAGCTCCTTTGGGAAGTGCTTAGTCCCATGATAATGAGATCTGATACAGGTACAGTTAGCTCTATGGTGGAAGCTATGGGCAGTCAATCAGTTGAAAGGATGCTTCCTTGGGCAAGTGGCCTGCTCCCAATATAATGGATGAAGGAAGGGCCTCTCTCTCTTCTGCTATGGACCTCGGACTCCGCAATTTTAAACTATTTTCTTAATAATACACTTCTGTCTATAATTTTACATATATATATTTCACTGATTTTGCTTCTCTAAAAAACCCAGCCTAAGACAAATATTATTGCCATTAGTATTTGTGATCCTGTATCAATAACTTTTTTTTGGAGAAGGATGTAATTAAAGGAAAAGGAAACAAAATAAAAATTGTGGTTGAAGCACAAATTATATACTGTAATGCTGGTTCCAAATATGATATACTGAAGGAGTTTTTCCATATAAAAACTATCAGTAGACCTGCCTAATTTATTTTCAATGACCCTTTTAACTTGTTTTTAAATGAAAAATAGAGAAATCTTTTTCTTTAAGTAAGTTTTTACTGGAAAATACTAGCAAGCTACAGAATTAGAAAAACAGCTGCCACTACTACCTTTTTTAAATCCAGGATTTCTTAGTATTTAGTATGATGTTGTTAAGTGCCATTGAGTCAGTTCTGACCCAAGAAGCTAAGGGTGGGTTTGAATCACCAAAGTTGTGGTTAGCAGTCCAGTGGTGAGCCTACAGCGCCACCCCAAGACTCCGTATAGCCTTATAGTTAGTAGTATTGATAGATTTTTGAATGATAAAGGAATAGGAGCTGAATAGAAAGATAAAAGTAATGAATATTCACATTTGTCCCCATGTTCCCTTCTATGTGTACCTTTTTTGAAAACAAAACAAAAAGATGTTAGAAGACAGGAAAGAAAAAAAGAAACCAATGAGAAATAAAATGCTAATTAGACAAAAAGAGTGAACTAACAGGGTCAGGCATCTTCATAATAATTTATATTGTTATTAATATATTATATTAAACTAGGTGATGAGAAAATGAAGAAATGCTGATCATTTATATAACTAAAGATACACTTATGATTACAGTTATTTTTTATTGCTATTTGACTCATCTTTTATAGTAGAGTTTAATATATTTGATCCAGATAGAAATAGCAGAAATGGAATTTTTTAGATAATTTTTAAACTACACTTATTAAAAGTATACATTATTGCCTTTAGGCAGGAAGCAAGTTATTTCAGAGTGGGGTTCCTCCAGGTACTTAATTGGGAGCTATGTTTGCTGACCCATGGAGTGCCTTAAGGCAAAGGCTTATAGCAGAGTACAGTGTCCTTTGGTCACTTATCAGCAGCCCAAAAAGAGTTTTGTAACATTGCCCTGGCAGGTCAAAGGCCAGCCCAAGGCCAAAGGACCAGAAAGAGGCCTGCCTACAGGTGTGGCTGGGGATAGGCTTTCCTGACAGCATTTCTGACCCTGAACTGTAGTCTACTAACTTTCCTAATAAACCCCATAATTGTAAGTATGGAAAAAAAATAAATATTATTTTGTAAGATGCTCTTCTGTAAAATATGTCAAACTAAATTATATTTTCTCTTGGTTTACAAATTCCTTTTGCAAGAAAAAAAATTTTAATGGAAGAAATTACTCTTCATTTTTGTCATCTTTATGTTTCAACCATCCTTAATAGGATAATTTTATTTATTTTAAGGAAAAACCATTTTAAAGGATACTATGTCAAATAAAAAGGAGCTCTGGTAGTGTAGTGGTTACAAATTGGGCTGCAAACCGCAAGGTCAGCCGTTTGAAACTACCAGCTGTTCTATGGGAGAAAGATGAGGCTTTCTGCTCCCGTAAAGATTTACAGCCTTGTAAACCCTGTACCGGGGTCGCTATGAGTAGAACTGACTCCACAGCACGCAGCCACCAACCATCATGTCAAATGAAATGTTCAGACATGTTAGCTATCTTTTTTGTGCCCACTCTGCCTTTGGAAATTGATATGCTACAGTGGTAATCCATACCATATTTTAAGATCCAAGCCTTTCAAAAATATTATATACAAATATGCTTACCTAAAGAAGGAGCCAAACAATATACTATAAAAAGTTGTGAGAATGCTTCATCAAAACACTGGAAATGTAGTGAAAGCGCCAAAGCTGGATTAAATACAGCTCCCGTTAGACTTCCTCCTGCAATACAGTTAGAGCAGAATGATACCAAACCGTATATCCTAACTTTTTTGTAATTGGAAAGAAATGGGGGAGTATTTCATTTTATACTCACATGCTCTTTTTGTATAATCTTCCTTTGAAGAATCATCTGACATATCATATGGTAAGTAAAAAGTATTGCTACTAGGGTTCATACATGCACAGGTTTATTCCAAGCAAAACATGTTTAAATATGTCTGATCAGTTAGTGGTGGCAGACAAGTTCAGCAATACACTTACCTTAGTTTGTTAGGGTGCTTTTGGAAAGCATCCAGTCAAAACAGTGGCTCCCAACGGGATCTTCCAGGCCAGTTAAATTCAAAGTAGAGAGGTCAGATTAGAAAGTTGTGACTTTTTTGAGGACCACAAAGGAGTAATTTTGATTGATTTTCTCAAAGGACACAGGATAATCATAGTAGTTTATTAGGAAAAGTTTTAAGAAAATTGAAAACTGCACTGGTGAGAAAAAGGCTAGGAAAATTGCACTGAGGAATCTTTTTGCATCACAACAATGCACCTGCTCATTCTTCAAGGGTAGCAAGGGCTATCCTATGAGAATCTTGCTTGGAAACCTTAACTCATCCACCTGATATTGCCCCCTTTAGACTCCTTTTTGTTCCCAAAGCTCAGCATTTGCCAAGGACAAAGTTCAGAGTGCAGGAAGTCTCAAGAAAGGTGGAATGGAAGTGAGAAACAGGGAAGAATGGGGCAAGTTATGTTACATTGCTGGGATTGCAAAAATGACAACAATGTGACTAAATTGTTTAATGGAAAATTGCTTTGTAAACTTGCACCCAATTCACAGTAACAAGAGGAAAAATAGATATTAAGAGTTAATAACCCAAATGGGCACCTTGGACATTGGCTACCCAAAATGAGGGGGCTAAAAGGCAAGAAGCGTCTGGCTTACAAGCTTTCAAGAGGGAGCCTAGATCCAGAGGGCATGGTGGAAGGTAGAATCTCCCCTGAGTAGTATCCATTCTGTCTAGGCAGGGCTGATGAAAGGAGATGCAGATAGGTCTCTTGTGGTACAACAGTGAATAATTGTTATCAGGACTGACTGTGAGGGTTGGAAATACAAAGGTAGACGTTTTGTAGCAAAAGGAGGGTAGTGATTGACTTTGCAGTCCAGGAACGGAGGTCCCTGGGACCATCAAGGGAGAAGAGCGGAGTGCAAGACCCCACCCAGAGAAACAGTGATGCCAGAGATGGAGGCAGAGATGAAGACGTGGAGAGGTGGAGCAGCTAGGGACTCTAGACCCAGAGAGGGAGAGGGTCTATGTGCTGACAACCAGGGGGCAGGTGTGCGGTGTATACCCTTTGGTTGGTTGATGATGCATGGAAGGGATTGTAACCATGGCAAGGAAACAATATACAATAGGATTATTGTAAAGCTAATGTTCTCCCATGAAAACTATTACATGATTCACAATAATCACAATAAAACGTTAAAAAAAAAGTTAATAGTTAGAAAAGCAATACCATTTACAATAGCCAAGCAAAGGATGAAATATCTAGGAATAAATGTAACCAGAGAAACAAAGGACCTATACAAAGAAAACTACAAAACACTACTACAAGAAA